AATGTTTCTATAATTAATAAAGGTATGCTGTTGGGTTGAGTGGTAGATGCATATGATCAAATTGGGAAAAACAAAATTACTCCCTCTGTCCCTATTTACTTGTCAACTTTTGAATTGACACACTTATTAAGAAAATAATTAATGACATAGTAAGTTTACCATTTTATCCTTATTAATTATGAAGTGGATGAAAAGTTCTACATTTTTCAAAGTAAGTAGTCATTTAATTGAGGGTATAATAATATGTAAAAAAAAATTGTCCTTTCTTGATATATCAAAATGGACAAGTAATTAGGGACAACTATAAAATGAAAAGTGGACAAGTAATTAGGGATAGAGGGAATAATATTTTAGAAAATGATTATAATTCATAATAATGATAAGTTAAAAATTAAGTGATAAATTATTTTTTGGTTACTAAATATAGACAAGTAAAAAGTAGACATCTTTTTTTAGTATACAGAATAAGTAAAAGAAAATAAGGTTAGTGGAAAGAAAAATAAGAAAAAGAATGACAAGATGGAGAATTGAATCCTCACAAACAAAACGAAAGTTCAAGTAACCAATTGACTCAACGATTATTTTTTTTTGTAAAAAAAAATAAATTAAGAGGAAAAATATTTTATTTTGAAAAGAAGCATATTTGGTAATTTCCAAAAATCGAAAGTCTTGGGATATGATCCAAAATGATCTCTTACATTTCTAAAAAAGGAAAGTAATAAAATCTTTTGTTTTGGTTGTGTATATGTCATCATTTATAATCAAAGCTATAACAACTACCACAAGATGATATCAGTAATAGTGTTGACCATATCTTTTATTTTGTTTGACATTTGTTTAATTTACTTTTTAGGTGGTGTGATTATTAATTAAAGCTATGACGATCTCGTTCAATGTTTTAAAAGACTATGTGGAAATTCGTTTTGGGGCTCGTTTTGAGATGGGGATCTAGCAAAATGCTGAGACTCAAGTATGGGGTTTAGTTATGTAAGACTTACGTCCTAAGTGTCCACCTGTATGCCTTAAGCATGTCCAATGCCTACTGCTTGGGGTTCGCTAACAGAGCTTACACAATTTTATGTGTTAATATCTTTAGTTAACATTGTTGACCCTCATAAATCTTGAATAAATGAATGATATTTATAATTTGGGTAAAAGGACAAATATACCCCCGAACTATCCTAAATGGTATGTAGATACCCTCCGTCATACTTTTGGGACATAGGTGCCCCTACCGTCCAAAAACTAGAGCATATATGCCCTTCACTCTAACGGAAGACTAAATAGGGACACGTGACACAATCTTATCCGTCGATCCGATATTTAATAAATGTTGGATTGGTGGATAAGATTATGACACGTATATGTCCGTTAGTATAAAGGGTATATATGCTTAGTTTTTGGACGGCGGGGGCACCAATGTCCCAAGAGTTTGACAGAGGATATCTGCATATCATTTACGGTATATTTGTCCCTTTTCCCTTATAATTTTTTAATGTGTAGAGATAAGAAGATTGAGAGTAACTCAAATAACCAATTGTAGTATCACATCTTTTTACTATTTGGTAACACTGTGAAGGTGATTATATATTACGTAACATTTCTTTTAAAAATCCATACCTAAATTTTACCTTTTTTTTTACTTATCATTGGTCTTCATATGATTTGTCATTCAAAATTATCATATTTTATTTGATTATTAAGTGGTAAATATTTAAACTTACTAGTTGTCTTATGTTCTTTCATATATATTCCAGATCAACCATCAAATGACACAACCTAGAGAGCAATTAAAGAGTTCTGCTTCTGTAGCTTACATGACTAGAACAACTTTCACTTCCAATCTTCAATATCACCTCTCAATTAAATGCTTGGCATTAGGACACTTGTGGTGTTGGTCTTATTATCAACTATTGGTACAATATCAACTGATGAAAAAGCTTCTTTATTTTATATTAATCAGTCTTCGAAATGAAAACTGAAAGATTAACAAATGTAAGATTGTGAAATTCATTAGTAATATTTTTCTAAGGCTTGTTTTAAACTGCAAGTCCCAATCAAACGATTAAAACGGAAAAGTATCTTTGAAAACTACACATATATCTTGCCATTTGGACATGGAAAGTAGCGATCGGGAGATCAATTCATTTAGTCGATTAAAAAGGGATGATAAATTTACTTTCTTTGAATTGTTTGAGTAACTTAGAAATGGCCAAAAGTTGCAGCAATACAATTGAACAACAGGCTTTAATAATTAAAAAAATCCCCATTTATCAAAAAGAGAGAATTAAAATGAAATATCCGAATTGCCCCTTTTAGCAGTGAACTTTCTGTTAGTTTTTTTTGGATCTGTTAGTTGAAGGATTAAAATCACTCACTTGATATAATTGAAGGTTAATAGTGTTAAGTTAGATAACACAAGGACAAAAATAAGAATATAGCCTTAACACATGGACTAAAAGTGCCGTTTTCCCTTTATTGATTATTTTCTTTTTTGGGGGAGGGTAAATTGTATAGTATGATAAAAAAAATATTTTAGAAGTAATGATTTTTTTATTATTAGAAAAGTTAGATTATTTATACTTGTATAATCATGTTAAAAGTTTTATTTTCTATGAGTTTCCTTAATCATGTTTGTAACTATTTCAAATTATTGATGTATTTTCATAATTTTATGTTATTATATTATTATACTATATTGTAAATTAAAATTTTAAAGATACATTACGCCCACATCTCGAGGCTTACACCTCACCCTATACTAAATAAAACACTCCGCCCTTTAAAACACTGATCTCATCTAAAAAATTCATCATTAAGAAAGGAAATTTTCAATGGAGGTTTAGTCATAAATTTATTAACGTCTGGCTTTGTTAATATATTTTTTTTGACAAATTACATTGGAGATTTTTATTATTGTAAAAAATAGTGTTTAAACTGTCAAATAAGGATCTGATTCTCTTTTATGACATTCACATGGGACAAGAAATTCTACTCACATCGGGAATAATTAGGAGTAGGGGTGTTCATGGTTTGGATAAAAACCGATCCAAACTGAAAAACTAAATCAAACCGATTAAATGAACCGATTTAATTTGGGTTTTGGTTTGGTTTTAGATTGTTAAGAACCGATAGTATTTGGTTTGGTTATGGTTTTGTTCGAAAAAAATCGAAGAAATAACCGAACCGAACCAACAAGTTATATACATAAATTTTATTATTATACATACATAATATATTATATTCATAAACAATTTTAAAGATTTTATATATGTTTCATCAAAATTTATTTTTATAATTTACTTATGAAAGAAAAAATGTCCAAGGTGAGAACATTTTTCTTATTGGTTTCATGTATATGAGTGTCTATGGAAATTTTTTGTGGGACTGAAAATGTCATTGTCTCTTCCTTCTATGCCAAAATAGTGAATTTTGAAGTTTTATTCAGTAAATTCAATGATCGAAAGTTCTTAACCGAATAACCGAACCAAACCAAAACCGAAAACAACCAAACCGATAAATGTATATTATATTTGGTTTGGTTTTGATAATTTTAAAACCGATTAAGTTTGTTTGGTTTTGGTTTTGACCAATAACCGACCCAAACCAAACCGTGAACACCCCTAATTAGGAGTATTAAATGGGCGGGTTGGGTTGAAATAGAAATTGGGTTGGGTTCTAACCCACTCTAGTTTACTTTGACCTCAAATGGGTTGGGCTTCAATGGGCTAAAAAATGGGTTGGGTCTTAACCCGCCCAATTTGACCCGCTCAATCTCAATAATTTTAATATATTGTTATTTAAGTTTTATAACTACAATTTGAATTTCAACAAGAAAATTTAAAAAAAGAAGTTACAAATGGAACATCCATTAAATCAATGTAAATAAAGAGTCTTAAAATTGATTGAAATTGGAGATTAAATTGAACTCGATTGAAGATTCTCTTAAAATGGGTTAGAATTTCAATGGATTGAGATTGAACCCAATTCATATTATCTTGAGTCCAACAATTAAAATTCTGAGCGAATCGAACGGATTAGGGCTCATTTTTAATACCTCTATGTTTATGACATGAGTACAATCAAATAATAGTATCTATTATTACAATATAAAGAATTAATTTATCCTATTCCCTTCTAGTACATATTTTTGTACACCAGGAATATGAATCTTTTCAATATAATTTCTCCAATTAATTTTTGTCACATCAATTTCAAAGCTTCTTTTTTCTTCTTCAGACATATCTCCCATTAGCTTTCTTATGTTGCCATTGTCAAACCTAGCAAAAAAAGAGAGAGTTATTTATTGGCTAGCCGAATTTAATCATGAACATCGGACATCAGGTGAGAAATTAAATATTTTTTTAATAATTACACATCTAATTATATATTATCTCTATTTCAATAATTTATGCGACATATTTGACTGAATTTGAAGAATATCGTTTGCTCCTAATAAAGAATCGAAGGACAAATCGGTCAATTACATGTACTAAAGTTTTTAACTTGTTTATGAATATAAAAATGTATCATTTTTCTCGGAAAAAAAGAAAAAAGAAAATATAACACATACCAGCCTTTGTAGAACATGTAGGGTTCATAGAGTTTGCTGAAATTCTTCAAATATTCCACCTTCTTTTTAATTAGGGATAAGGGTCTGAAAAATACCCCAACTTTGGTCGGATTTGCTGTTGCGATACTAAACTTTCATGAGGACCTATTACCTCCCTAGACTATTTAATACCGTATTTTTACCCCATGAACTATTTAATAGTGTATTTTAAAGGTATATATGTGCCCACGTGGACAAATTACTATTTATAATTTTGCATTATTTTTTATGTCCACGTGGACAAATATATATGTTTAAAATTACGGTATTAAATAAGTCTAGGGAGGTAATAGGTCCTCATGAAAGTTTAGTATCGCAACAGCAAATCTGACCAAAGTTAGGGTATTTTTCAAACCCTTATCCCTTTTAATTAAACGTATTTGAATCTTTATAAGCTCTTTTCCATATTGTACTTCATGTTGCTTGGATAATACCTCCCAAATATAATTTTCAACATCTAATATTTTGTCAAAAAATCTCATTTTTTTAATCACCTTTATCTCCTTTTTTATTAACAAAAGGAAATAATTTGAAAAAATTATAGGAATAGTAAAAAATTTGAGAAAATGAGACAGGATTTATAGATGATGATGCCACATGATAGATATTTAGTTGTAGATTTTGCAAATTTCCATGTTTTGCCATAGCAACCATTGTTGCATTTACAACCATATAAACTGGAACCTAAATAAAGTAAAATATATATTAAATCGAGATGATCACACAGTTTAATAATAAAACGTAAAATTATTGAAAATGTACACTTACCAAATCAACAAGACCATTTGGATCACCTAAAAGGCATGGAAGGTTACCCTTTCGATAGAAAAAGATTAAAGGGTCGATTGTCCTAATTAAGAAAGAGATAATTAAAAAAATAAAAATCAGAAACATTAATATTCTTGGAAATTATAAATAGGCAGAACACATCGATAGTTTCTTAAATCTGTAAGTAAATTTCATTTAGACACTTGAACTGTACTTGTTATGATCGAGCACCTTGAACACATTGTTTTATTAAGAAAATAGATTTAGACTGGTTTTAGAGTCGCCACTTAATTTTTAAGAAAAATCAAGAAAACTATTGTTTTCAAAAGACTAAAACAAAAATATAATGAAAACTTAAAAGGGGTTCGGGGTTCTTATTAGCATTTTGGGAAAGGATTTAAAACACCCGAAATTTCCGCTAACACGCGGTTATCCAATAATTAACTATTTGGCTAAATTCGTTGACTTAATTTGAATTGAACAATTTTTGTAGTTAGGACCATTTTAAGTTAGAAAAATATTGAAATATTTATCTAAATGAAGTATTTTGTAAACTTATTTAGTTATTTTTAAGTCAAGTAAGAGATGACTGATTTAGTTAATTGTTAAATCAAAATGGGCCTCTTTCGGGGATTTGAATTTTTCGACCTTAAGACTTGCGGCAAATATTAACAAGCGCGCAAACACAATAAAATAAAGAGGGAAAGAGACCTAGGCCCAAGTTTGATTTTTCTGTCCGCCTGGACCAAAACTTGGGCCCATTTGAGTCACCTGCACCTGTCCTAAACTAACATGAAAGGAATATATTACTAACTTTGGGCCTTAGGCCCAATTTTTTCACCTGTCCTAAATTCTAACAAGAATAATAATAAATAAAATAACAAGGGCTTAGGCCCAAAAATAACAAAATACAACTTCTTAAAGTAAAGTGGGCCTCTTTAAGCCCATTTTCTCATTTGCGTATACACTAGGTGTATACTAGTGTATAAAATCTCGTATCAGCTCCAAATCCTGTTCGTCAAATTTTCGGGACCTGTTCTTTGATTTTAATGGCCGGCTGACTCGATAAAAGGAGTTTGAGCTTTTATGGCTCTCCCGAAATGCAAGGGGAAGGTGAGTTCATAGTGAATTCGGATAGATTTCACATGCAAAATACAAACAAAAATATAAGTGACAAATATTTAATTTAATATAAACAAAGAACAATGACATAAAATGTGCTCATGATACCGCCTAGATTTGATAGACCACTAGAATAGTAAGAAATTCTCAGCCAACTCTTAATTGTGACAAGGAACATGTGATGTAGGCAATGATATGATTTATAAAGAATGAGAACAAAACTCATCCAAAAGACAACAAGCAGCAACAACTAAACATCACTGTTGGTTACACTCAAAGGTAATGACTATAATAATAAAAATAAAAATAAAAAACTTCATTCATTTTTGGATCAAAACAAACAAGACTTAGGGGGGTAGGAAGAGATTATAATTACGACCACGAGAATTTAAATCGAACAACCTAGAATGACCCAAAATAGGCAAGCAATGACTTTAACTAAGACAAGATTTCAGCTAGTAGTCAATAAAAAAAGGGAGTAAAACAGTCAACTACCATATTCAACTCTTTGAGTTAATTAAGGCACAAATAAAGTAATCAAACCGCAAGAAATTTAAGAACAACAAAGCCGCTTTTAAGAGCTAAATTTAGAATTTCAGACTAAACCCCAAACCATAGACAATAAGATGAGATTATATACACACTAATAATAACCAACAGTAGATTCCAAAGAAATATGAACCTTCATCAATTCAAGCAAAGCCTATACCGGAGAACATTTTAAAGCCTAGAAGTCTAACAATTAACAACATATGCAATACGTAAGTATATCTTGTATTAACACCCTTTAGAGGGAGAACAGTAAGTTAAATGAGAGATTAGTCATTCAAGCAGACATAAACTTAGACATAAGCTATGAACCCTGAAAAGATAAACATAGAATTTACGCAGTAAAGCTAAACCAGTAGTCAAGCCTCAAGTTTGAAAAAAAATGAACAAAGAAACTGAAACTCCATCGCATTTTAATAACAACAGTAGCAAAGGTTCAAACATAACAAAAGAAATTTCTATCACTAATATAAATAATGTTAACATGTAGTGACTGAAACATGACTAGGGATGCTTAAACTGATCACATAGAGCAATTAGGAATCGAACAGAACAAATCTGAGAAAGGATTTTACCTCTTACTGGGCAGCGAATGAGACGGAACGAGCTAGCAACTGCAATCTTCCCACCACAAAAACTCAAATACGAGCAACAACAAGAAATCCAGGCAGAATCTCGAACTCAAACAAAACTTAGGGAAAGCAGTAGCGATCGAAATAGAAGAGTGATACTCCGACTGAAGTGAGTTCTTCTCTGCCTTCCCAAATGTGTTACGTTTGTGTTTCTTTTTAGCTATTTAACAATGTCCTCTATACCTTAGTTTTAGAAAATAACCATCTAAAAAAATCTCCTCCCTCTAACAGTAAATGAGAAGCAACATTTATAGCAGGGGAATAAGGTTTGGATCTTTTGGGGGGAAAAAGGATGAAAATTTGGATAAGACAAGGCCTATTTCGAAATTCAAACCCCAAAAACCCTTTCACCATTAAGGGTAAACACCCTTTTCTTATTAAGTTTCGTCCCATTCCGGAAGCGTGAAGTTGTCGTCGCTTTCTCATGTATTTTGACGGAAACTTGGAGCTGTGAGGATGCCGTGTAGGCTGCTGTTAACGTGAAGGATCTGGAATCCTCTGTTGAAGAAAAGAGATTTGGACCTGTTGGTGTAATGCATTGCTGCTGGGTTATTTTGTGTGTTGTATGTATGTTGGTGTTGTATAGTAATGTTAAATTGGGCTGAGAATTGGGAGTGGGAAATTGAATTGTTTAGGATATGTTTGGATCGTTGTATTAAGGGGCAGCTGTTAATTGTAAAAATAAATAAATAGGGGTGGGGTCGGTTGAAAGGGAATTAGAAAAACTTAGCCAATTTGATTTAGTTAAGATAGATTCGGCTAGTAATTAAATAGGACAAATTGATATTAATTAATTAACGAGCTTCTTAATCTTAACGAAATAAAATAGTTAACTTAATTGTAAACTAATTAATTTAACAATATAAACGACTAAATAACCAAAAATTTAAATAAAGCTAAAGTCCTTTTCGAACATTCATAAAATATACTAATTAGACACATAATTATATAATAATTAACTTAATTACAAACTAATTAACTCAAAATATAAGCTATTAATTAATTTAAACTAAATAACCAAATATTTAAATAAAACTAAAAATCCTTTTGAGACAATTTTCGAACATTCATAAAATATACTAATTAGACACATAATTATATAAACTATTATATTTATTATTTTAAAATTTATAAAAAATGACAAAACTACTTAAAATGACTTGAAAAATATTTTGAATTTTATAAAGCCAATTATTTCAAATCATTTAGATTTTAGGAAGCTCGATAATTAATTTATATCGTGGAGGTCCAAAATTCGGTGTCAACACACATGATAAAATGTTTCAAGTACACATTTCTGACTCAAACTTTTGAAAAAGTTCTTATGCATGTTGTCAACTTAAAATATGTCACATTCTTTTATTATACTCATTATCTTCAATAAATCATAAAATCTCAAGCATGCTCCAATTAATTGCGCATATTATATAACTAACTTATCTAGGTAATAGATGTTTGAGAACATGCGTATAATCTTTTTTCAAAATGTGTCCGAAGTGTTTGAACAATTTATCTTGTGTTTACCTAAATAAAATTCACTACTGATAAATTTAAGAAGCTATCGATATATTCAACCATATAAATATTTGAATAAATAATATGTCACCTGAATCCTTGCATCCATCCTGGAAATGGCTCTTTATAGCTACTTGCTATTATAGAGGGTCGAATAATAAGTATTGAAATTTCATTTCTCATACTATTTATCATCATTTCACCAATTGCCTTTGTGAATGTATATGTATCTTGCCATCCATATAACTTTGCCCTATTTAATCAACAAACAATTAATTATGTTTTTTTTAAAAAAGAAATTATTTTTTTTCTTATATCAATATAATTATATAAAAAGAGAAAATACCTCTCAACTCCTAAATTCTTCATTATTTGCTCCAAGCCAATATTATTTGTAATATTGTTCTTCAATTTTGAAACTAAGTCCATTTCATTGTGAACATGCAATGATGGAAAATTAGTAAAGGGAGAAATTGAAGTGATTTTTTCCTTTTTTATGCTTTTTCCCATACTAAAAGGCTTCTCCAAAATTAATCCTTCTCTTTCTCCATTAGCATATATTGTAATTAAATAAATATCATATATAGAAAGATTTATACTATATACACTAATAGTGTACATAATCGTTGCGTACGTCGTTAATTCAATTTAACTGGAGTACTTTATTTTTCTTAACATCATATCAGGTTTGGAACTTAAAACTCTTATAAAAAGTATATATTATTTGTGTGAGCAATATAAATTTTTTTTACACATCAGATTAAGTTGACCTACAATAACTCAGAGTTATAGATGTCCATACCAAGACTGATACTAGAAAAGAAAATCATAACCTACTAGAATCGATTAAATTATGGTAATAGCGTAACATCTTGTTACATTATTAGTGTATATAACTTATACTCATATATCAAAACATATGTTTTTTATTGAAGAATATTCAAATACATACCTGTGGAATAATGCATAAGAAGTTTAAGATTCTTGCATTTTTTGGCAAACATCATGAGTTGATATGGACCATTCACATTAGCATCAAGAGCTAAATCATACCTTAAAAAAAATAATCAAATGGTAATTATAAATTAATAACATAAAATTAATAAACTCACACAATCCAATCTAATTTAAATCGTACAACCTTAGTTGAATAATAATTTTTAGGAAAAAAAAACGAACCTCTCATCAAATGTGGTGTTTGCTGCTGAGTCAATAATCAAATCAATTTGTTGAGCAGTAATAATATCCATACCAAGATTTGGCTCATATATATTTCCAACCACAGGAATTAATTTGTTCAATATGAATGGCTTGTAATATTCACCATGCATTTCTTCTAGGCATTTGAATAATTTTGACTCTATAATCTGATGATAATAAGACAAATTATATATAAATAATTATTTCATATATAACCCTATTAAAAAATTTAACTACAAAATCTGTCATTAATCTGTCGTTAAATAGCTTATAGCCTACATAAGTACAAAAATATTATATCGTTAGTCTGTTGTTAAATAGGATTAGTGACAGATTTTGTTGTATTTCGACCTATATATAATGTGTACATACTTCACTTTTTAATCTGTTAAATGCAGCTCCTTTATCCTTTGCTCTGATAAGGATGTAAATCTTGTTTATTTTTGGTGTTGTTCTCAACATCTTTTCAATCAGAGCTGCAAAAATATTTTACATTTTTAGATCATTAAAAAATTAATTATATCAAGAAAAAATTGCATTGATACCAAAAGAGTTCTTATAGTATTAGTGTATATATAAAATTAAACTCAAAATATATAAATATTGCAAATTTAAAATGTGACTAATTAATCTACTCATAATAAGTTAAAGCAGGACGTTTGGTATGATAATATTATCCTTATGAACATATATTATATATCCAACATATTCAAAAAAACCTTGGTAATACGAGTGGTATATATTCTACTTATATATATATATATATATAGCAACAATCTATTCTGAAATAAGCATTATTGGTTAAATGTTCTATATTTCGAACTTGTCATACAAAGATAATTTTACAGTTAATTAAATTATTGTACCTTTTGCAAGAAACCCTGTACCACCAGTGACAAGAATGTTCTTCCCTTCAAAAAACTCAAAAATACCTATACCATTATTGGTCTTTTGAGATATAATTTCTTTTTCATCCTCTATGGTTATTGATGGAGCATTAGTAATTGCTTTAAGCGAAAAATGTGATTATTTGGAGAAGAAAAAAATGAAGGCAAACATGTTATATTTTTCATACTTCTTTTTTCATTCTTAAAGGATGGAACAATTTTATATTGATCAAAACTAGAAGAAAAATAATTTTTAGAAAATAATTTAGTTGGTGATTGCCTTGTATAAAGGGGGGAAATATTTTTTGAGAGAAGCATTATATTGGCAATTGACAAAAAAATAATTAAATAAAAGAGAAGTTGTGGGATAGGAGGAAAAATAATCTTCTCTATTTATAGAGCAAGTTAGGTAGTATAAAGACTAGTAATAAATTAAAATGTTTTGTGTGCTGTGTCATTTACAATAAAAGCTACAACAACTACCACATGATGAGTATCAGTAATATTGTTGACCATATCTTTCTTTTTCTGAGATATGTTTAATTTAAATTCTTACGTTCCTAATAAAAGTTTTGTGACGATCTTGTTTAAAAAAATAATTTATTTTATAAAACATGTTTTAAATTACTTGAAAATATCTTCAACACGATTCTTGGCATGTGGGCTTTGATTTTGTTTATATGCATGCTTTGATCGTCATTTTTTTAAAATCAAAAATCACATATTTTCAATGGATGCATTCGGAAGAAAATAATCGTGGAACTTTTACACCATACTATTATCTTTGAATAATAAGAAATAAGATAAATATTTGTATTTGATTTGAATCTTTTGCTTTCTAACATAAATAGATAATGTAAAACATAGAATGTAACACTACAATTATAGAGATATTTAGTGGCGATAATTTTTTTTTAGTAGAAATTGAGTTAATGCCATGACTACATGCAGAGTCGTTAAAAATTTAATCAGCATTTATATAAAGTGTAAATTATACATATTCATCTATATTATTATCACTAAATAATTACCGAATTTGTTTTTATTTATTGTAGTGTAAATAGACATAGAGGCAGATGTATACAAGTATATCATAAATATATACTATGAATTCATCATGGGCAAGCTAAGGTTAATACTTGTATTTGCCCATAATTCATAAATATGTATTAAAATTGTCACGACCCAAAAATGGAAGTGATGACACTCGTCTTATCTCACCAAGACCAGTCAGCCTAAAACTCAACCTTACATAAAATGCGAAAATTTTTATAATCAACTCAACCATTACATAAAAATGCGAAAATTTTATAATCAACTCAACAATCCCCCAAAATCTGGTTGTCACATGTACAAGCCTCTAAAGTATTACAATTGATTCAAAAGAAAAACACAAGTCTCAAATGTCCTTGTTTCTAGAATATAACAAGATCATAAATAGGAGTAAGAAAGTCCGCAGAGATGACAAACAACTACCTCACAAATCTCCAAGAAGCCTCGAAAAATAAGAGAATGGAAAGTATCACAAAATCCAGGCTTGTAACCTACAAAAAATTTGTAGAAGCAAGGGGTGAGTACCAAACCACACGGTACTCAACAAGTAAACCTCTAAACACAAGCTAAGGGAATAGAATATGGGTACTCCTTACACCCTAACCGAACCTCCACAACTACAACCTGCATAAAACCAGCCCAACCTAACAGTTCACAGTTTATATAGCACACAGCTCAACAATAACACTCTAACAATTATATATCCTCAACAATAAACTCACTATTCATCAATTACAACTTCCACAGAGAGGCACTCACAAGATCAGCAACACACAAGATCAAGTTCATCAATGATAAAGATGTGCAATGCAATGAAATGCAATGTCAAGTATAATGATGCATGTCTGCCTAATGATACACACCCGATGTCTCTCAGTCAGGACCCATGAGGGACATATCTGTCCATGCATTCATTGCGGCGCACGATATGACCCTCGATACTAGTAACCATCGCGGCGCGTGATACGTCCCTCGAAATAATGGTACATCCTCTTAATTTCTTATTCTTTCTCAATTCACATAACACTTGTCACAACCATGTCTCAGAACAATGCAAATGACATGTTCACAAAAATAATGAGGAGATGACCATTTTCATAACATTGCACAATTCACAACAACACAATCATGATACACATCAACAATGATTCAACAAGCCTTTCACACCATTCTCAACACATCACACAAACAATTAATCACATTGCCTTTTATTACCCCTTTTTCATCATTAGAATTAATCAATGTGGATAAGTCAAGCCATCACCAAGTCCCGTTACTTCCCAATACACACCACAAGGAAATACTCGATTCTATGAACTTAACAAGGGTTTAGAAATCCACTTGCCTCAAATCATCGAACATTCACTCCGACTCTTGAGCCTTCCTCTTTTGTTAGGCTTCCAAATCAATACAATCTATTCAAATAAATAAATCACAATAAGTTTTCAAAACTAACAACAACCATATTACTATAGGTCTAGCCTAGACCCAAAAACTTACACAAACCTAAAATCAAGTTCCTAAATTTTGATGCTAATTTTCATGTCAACTCTCATACTTCCAAGTTTCAAGTCTAGGGTTAAGTTTCAATTTCTCCAAATAATACAACCCTATTAGTTTTCAGATAATATAATATACCAATATTTAATTACACTCACCCAATATACCAAAGAAATTGGGAACTAAATTATCATACACCATTAATGCATAACGATACCCCGGAAAAACTTGGTATACTGGCCAAAGAAAACAACAAAATGCATTCTTAGAGAAAAGGACTAATTAATGTCATGTCCATAATTATTAAGTAATCATCATCCAATCATTTCTAAGTCACCAATTCTACAATTTTCTCTCCAAATTCTTTAAGGAATCACGCGGTAGGCTGGCAGCCAGCAGTAACAATAGTACGAAACACAATAGTTTCTAATCAAATAAAATACGTTCTATTTTTCAATTGACGACACACGAATTATTTTATAAACCCAAAATATGTTACGTATATGATTCAACACTTGAAGTTCTTACTTGAATGCAATAAGTTTTAATTCCTTTTCTTCTCTTTACTAAAATAAACCCTACAAACTTATTTTTAATAAATATGGGCTAAGGGGTATAGGGTCTTAAATGAATTTTCAGACTTGTCCCATTATTATCAATTGACTAAATAAATATCCGTCAATTTAATAATTGTAGTTATCGAATAACTTCAAACTTGCCACATCAACTTCATCGACTTATCAGAAATGACCCGAGACAACTATCAAGAGAGGGTAATTGATAAATTTCATGATAATTTCCAAAAATGACCTTCCGGGTCATTACAAAAATTATTTTAGATAAATAATTGGCTATAAAGACGATGGGTTCATAACTACTATTCTTATAACAGAATACTTATCAACCAACAAATATATAACAAGTGTTATGTCTAATTGAATGCAAAATAAATAAAACACCAATAAAAAATGTTTCTACAATTAATAAAAGTATGCTGTTGGGTTGAGTGGTAGATGCATATGATCACATAAACAATATTAATATCTAGAAAATGACTATAATTAGTAAAAGTGGACACTTTTTTTAATAGTATATATGACAAGTAAAAGAAAATAAGGGAAAGGATGACGAGGTGAAAAATCGAATTCTCACGAACAAAGTGAAACCCAAGTAACCAATCAACTGGACTATTAAATTTTTTCATTAAACAACACATATATTGGACAGAAAGAGTAATAATATATTTGTGGAGAGTTAAAAAAAAAGAAGGAACCTTTACTTTGCACCTAATTTTTTAGTGCCTATAAATTAACGATTGTCGTGCAGTGAATGAAATTGTTCTTTTTTTAATCAGAGGTTTTGAATTCAAGCTTTGGACATGAAAAAAAACATCCTTTGATAGGGAGCGTATTCTCCCGAATGAGGCCTACACAACATAAAATTTAAATAGTCGAATTTTAATACATATACCAGACGCCAAATAAAAAATCAAAAGAAGAAAAGGAAATATTCATATAACTAACCCCAATTTATTTGGTACTAAAATACAATTGTTTGATTGTAAACGCAATGTAGATCTTCAAATAATCTTTTTGCATTTCCAAAAGAGGAAAGTGTTAAAGGACAGTAATAAAAGTTAGGGCTAACCCATCGATTGCCCCCTAAAGTTGGCATCAATTTTCACTTAGACATCTTAACTAGACTTTGTTCATTTTAGACACCTCATGTAAGACCCTGATATGTCATTTTGACACGTTTTTTACATTCAGCAAAAATGTGATAGTGAGTGTGTTCCACTCGCGGATGATGTGTAAAGTGTCAAATTAAATGAGGACATTTGTCATTTTGTTCAAAATAATTCTTAAATAATAAACTATCAATTATATAAAAAAAAATGGCCAATGGATCGATGACACGTGGCATTTTCCCCCCAAATAATAACAAAAAAAAGATTAAATCACCTTAAAAAATCTTTAGGAGAAGCATCCCCCACCCCATCGTCTTCTCCAACGTTGGGGAAACAAACACAATAGCACACATCCCTTAATCTTCTACCATATACCCGAAATTTTCTCTATCTCTTTTACTTAAATATTGTTCAATCCTTCTATGGTATAACTTTAGTGAACTTGTGTAACTCAATTTTTTTCAAATAAATGCAGCTCCACAAATTTTATTGCCAAAAGAAAATTCACATATTTTATTGCGAAAAAAAATAATCTAAGATCCAATGAACTTTTAAAATACAAATGTGTACGTGTTCATATCAAATTGTTGAGTTTCTTTTAATGGGATTAGCTCATTTTTTTAGTGACTTTTTATTCATCCCCAACTTTTCATTTTTTTCTTCAAACTTCAGTCTTTTTTTCTCAAATTAAATTGAGGAAGAAGGGCATCATCCTTGGAAAATCTTGAGGAAAGCTCTGACGTTTGGAATTAGATTCCTCGTTTGTGGCATCATCGAATATATTTCACCATGGAAGAAGTTCAAGTTTGAGAAAATGGTGGTTGAAAAAATGGGGAAGAAGAAGGAAATATAAAATAAAAATTGGCTAAAAAAGAGCCTGACGCGTGGTTAATGAGTGGGTCACACTCACTATGCCATATCAGCAAAAAGTGTCAAAATGACACATCAGCACCTTACATGAGGTGTCTAAAATGAACAAAGTCTAGTTCAAGTGTCTAAGTGAAATTTGATGTCAACTTTAAGGGGCTACCGATGGATTAAGCCTAAAAGCTATAACAACTACCACATGATGATATCACTAATATTGTTGACCATATATTTTATTTTGTCTGACATTTGCTTAATTCACTTTTAGGTGGAGTGAAATTGTTGAAGCGTATGATAGTCTCTTCTAAAAAAATTATTAATATTTTTTTTTTAATGGAGGTTGATTTAGTTCTAGATTTATCAATATTTGGCTCCCCGATATTTTTTTCAACAAATTTCATTGGAGATATCTATTATTTTTGTAGCGTTGAACTTGTCATTTGTCAAATACGGGTCTGATTCTCTTTTATGGCATTCATCGGATAAGAAATCTTTTTTAAAATTTCTTTTACCGTTCAATTAGATTAGAAATCATTCAAATTAAGAATAATTTTTTTTTCTTTTTTTTTTTCTTTTCCTATCATTTAACTAAAACAACAGATAAAGAATATCATCGTCCTACTTAATAAAAAACTTATGAAAAAGAACATCGCTTCCTCGTATACCAAGATAATATTATTTATTAATATTAATACAACTCTTATGAAATATAATCTTTGAAGTACTTATGTTTATCACATGAGTACAAACAAATAATATATATTATTTCAGTATTAAGAATTAATTTATCTTATTCCCTTCTAGTACATATTTTTCTACACCAGGAATATGAGTCTTTTCAATATAATTTCTCCTATTAATTTTTGTCACATCAATTTCAAACTGACTTTTTTCTTCGTCAGACATATCTCCCATTAGCTTTCTAATGTTGCCATTGTCAAACCTAGCAAAAAAAAAAGAAAAAAAAAGAGTTATTTAATGTGATTTATTTAACTGAATTTTAAGAATATTATTTACACCTAATAAAGAATAGAAGGACAAATTGATCGATTACATGTACTTAAGATTTTAACTTGTTTATGAATATAAAAATGTATCATTTTTTTGGGACAAATTAAAAAGAAAATATCATACATACCAGCCTTTGTAGAACATGTAGGGTTCATAGAGTTTGTTGAAATTCTTCAAATATTTCACCTTCCTTTTAATTAAACGTATTTGGATATTTGTAACCTCTTTTTCATCTTGTACTTCATGTTGTTTGAGTAGTTCCTCCCAAATATAATTTTCAAAATCTAATATTTTGTCAAAAGATTTTATTTTTTTAACCTCAAATTTATCTCCTTTTGAATTAACAAAAGGAAATAATTTGAAAAAATTATAGGAATAGTCAAAAATTTGAGTAAATAAGAGAGGATTTGTAGATGATGATGCCACATGATAGACATTTAGTTGTGGATTTTGCAAATTTCCATGTTTTTGCCATAGCAGCCATTGTTGCATTTACAACCATATCAACTGGAACCTAAATCAAGTAAAAAAGTGATCAGATTATAATGCAAAAATAAATTAATTTATAATAATAGTAATATTGTTGGATCTGTATATAATTATTATAAAGACATAATCTATCTAATAGCTTCAACTTTTTTTGGGAATGTCACACTTCAATATGTATCAGAGTTGAGCAATATTGATTTAGGATTCGAGTCTCACTGTCACTTATTATTAAAAGAATTGTGTGTTTGACTTGGGAAAAATAATCAGGTCGGGATTCGATGAAGATATAATTCCATAAATAAAATATACTCTAATGTCTTAAATTTTTAAAGGCAACTTAGACTCATTTGAGCGAGGGAATCAAGTGAAAACACAATTGATTCTCTTAATGAAAAAAGAAAAAGAAGAGAGACTTAATTGTTTAAATAAAATGGTCAGAAATTTCAGTATTGTATCATAGTAGGCCACGTGCTTGACTCATGAAAAAGAATGACACTAAAACAAGAGACCTGTGAAAGACATAACTAAGTAAATACAAATTTATTTTTCTTTAATATCTTAAGTATTAAATCGAGATGGTCACACATTAAAGTATACGTACAAATATAAATGTTAAATCTATTGAAAAAGTATACTTACAAAATCAACAAGAACATTTGGATCACCAAAGAGGCATGGAAGGTCACCCTTTCGATAGAAAAAGATTAATGGGTCGATTGTCCTAATTAAGAAAGATATAATTGGAAAAAATTAAAAATCAGAAACATTAATATTCTTGAAAAATTATAAATAGGCAAATATATCAATAATTTCTTAAATTTATTAGTAAATTTTATTTAGACGTTCGAACTACGTCTTGTTATGATCGAACTCCATGAACACATGATAACTAAAGTGTTTCAATTACACATTCTCGATTCAAACTTTTGAAAAAGTTCTTGCGCATGTTTTCAATTTAAAATATGTTGCATTCTTTTATCATATGCATTATCCTCAATAAATCATAAAATCTCAAGCATACTCCAATTAATTGCATATTTTATATAACTAACTTATCTACGTAATAGACGTTTGAGAACATGTGTATAATCTTTTCAAAATGTGTCAGAAGTAGGGGTGTACATGACCGGGTTGGTTCGGGTTTTTC